AAAAAAAAAAAAAAAAACAAGAACACCAACAACCGCATATATCAATGTGCCATCAGTTTGTGTTCAGTGCAAAATAAATTGCATATAACCTTTTTGGTCAATGTTATAGCAAAAAACATCACCAAAAAAAAAAGAAAAAAAAAATTGTACATCCTTTTGTATGGATTTACCGACTGAACAAAATCAGATGATACGAATGTTGACAGGCAGTTCTGTTTGACAACACTAGGAGTCCGGCTTTTTTCTGATGGATACTAGCGAGATTTGTACGTGGATTTGTGCTACAGATAACAAGTTTTAACATTTTTAACAGTTTCTGTGTGATGGTTCTTCACAAAAGTCGAATATTTTAATAACGGCAGAAAAAAAAACTAATCTTTTTTGTTTCCGTTTTTTTTCCTCACTTTTTTTTAATTAGTTTTCCAAACAAATAAATTTAAAAAAAAAATTAAAATCATAAGAGAAAAAGTATTGTTTTTTTTTCTAATGTAAATAACAAAGTTATTATCTGTTGTTTAATAAAAACTTACAGTGCTTGTTGTCTCTGTTGTTTAGCATTTCAGAAGGAAGAAATAAATAAAGAATAAACACCACAACTAACTTGTATATAACTTCTTTATTTTTTGTTTTTTTTACTGACAACTACAGAATTCTGTTACAACAACTTGAACTACATTGACAATACCAATAAGCAATGTTAATAAACTTATCAGATCAGCTAAACTAATCATTCGAAACCTTTTTACCAGTCATCTAAAACACACTTTACTCTGTATAATTGATAATAAATTCCTTTGTTAAAAGATAAAATTCAGAGAGAAAAACTGGTGAAAAAATTTATCTATAAACAACGTATAGATATCGGTAATGACCATAACTTCAAAAATTTGTTAATATTATTCAAAAATATATTTTAAAAACAATTACTTATATTACAATTTTCAATTACTAAAAATTAGAATTTACTAAGCATATCACACATAGAATATAACTTATAAAAAAAAAACAGAAAAATTATTTCAACTTATACAATTTTTCTGCATTTTCTGTCAATCGTACACGTAGATGAATCTAATGAATCAAATCTATTGTCAGATATGTACATTGCAAGTCTATATTTATACCTTTGATGGGTTTAACAGTGGTAAAGCAGTTAACAGAAAGAGCAAAATTTTTCTTCAGTCAATAATCACAGCTACTATCAA